AAGTACAACCTCGAGAAGGCGGGCGAAGTCAAGTAACCTTTGCCTTCTCAACTCTTAAGAGAATGAGCGAAACCGAGTACCCAAATTCTCTTATCTATCCAGCAGAGGAGCTCTGCACAAGTTCAAAGACCTTTCGAAGATAATGAAAGATAATAGTTGTCAAATCCTCACCAACGGTGATCAGTGCTACTGAGAGTAGATTGTCCGCTTCATTTCCCAACGAAATGCCAATCGAAAGCGGAAGTGATGCGAACCTACTTGGATGTGACAACTAAGTGAAAGAAGAGTCAATGAGCAAATTTTGTGGAGGAAGGACCCAAAACTTCAGAAGTTTGCGAGATGATGCTCGTTAAAGCTCCAACAAGCATCCACCCAGTTCAAGCAGCATGAGAAATTTGAGAGACTAGCGCAGTAAGGATGGTCTTTTCCTTCATCTGGGGGATCCGCAGGAATCAACAAGGATCAACACAACTCAGCCAACCCCACACCAGAGTCAGAGTCATTGGTGAGTTGAAGCAGCATGACGGATCAAAGGTTCGACTACTCAAAAACAGCAGTGGAGAGCAGCTAGGAGCCAAGAGGCTCATTGTAGCTGGAGCAGAAGATTGAAGACTCAGCAAAGGCGAGGAGTTGCAGTGTCGACAAAGGCTTCAACGAGGACGTCGAAGGAATAAGTGGGGGAGAATGTCACGGACAAACTTCTAAACAAGATGTTTGATGTAATGTTTATGTATGTCCATGTCTTTTGGCATGTTCATGCCTTGTACAGCATGTAGAGGGGCGGCCGAAGGCTTAATAGTCCCATCTTAGTTGGGTTGGTGGCCTCTTTAGGCTTGTAAATAAAGGTTGTGTCATGTGGACACGTGCGAGAGATTTTCGGTATGTAATGGACCATTTTACCCTTTGGTGTGCAACTGTTCAGAGCTTGTAAAGTCTGTTTGTAATTTGTATTGTTTATGAAGTGTTTTTCGGAGATGTTTGCTTGTGGATCCCGATTGAGGCGTTCTTTCTAACCCGTTCTCTCTTTTGTTGGTCCTAAGGGACAATGGGAGGCTTCGGGGAGGTTGACCTTTGCGGACGGACACGCAAGGGTGCCGCACGACTTAGGCAAAACCAGCTAAGTCCGTGACACGATGGTGCGGCCGAGGTGGTTGACACCGAGAGAGCCGTCGGGGAATGAACAACGACTGGTGCACTGGCGAAGCCCACGGGCGCAGCAGGCAAGGAAGTGGCGGGCCTGGTCCAACGCGTGGAAGCCGAGTAGGTTGCAACAGAGAAGATAACACAGGAGTTGAAGATAAAAGTGGAGGGGAACAGGATCCTGTGGGTGAACGGGGAGTGATTGGAGCAGAGGATGCTGATGGTTCCGGGCTTGGGAATGTGGCTGTAGCGGCGGTGGTCGCTGGCCGGAAGCAGGGGCGAAGCCTCGCTCTTCTCACTGCTCTGATACCATGATTGAATGAAGAATGAAATCGTGAAGGCAAAGAAAGCACACTTTAATTAGTGTCATATGGTGTCTATTTATACATGGTGAAAGAGAGGATTTTTCTACAACGAGATTTCCTCGTGCAGTTGGGGAAATCTCATCTGCTATGCAGTTGAGGAAATCTCTCTGTTATCACTCCCTTCTATATGATGCCATCCATTTTTCCTTTAGAGACCAAGAACCACTTTCTAGTCTCTGCTTTCATCTTCCTGTATCTTTTCTGTCTATCTTGCACGAGGGTGTTCTGTCATAGTCACAAGTGCACAATCTTTGAGATAGGCATCCTTAACCTGCAGTTGGGAGGAGAGGGAGGAAATTACTTTCAGTGCTTGGCACTGGAGTCAATGACATGGTGGGTAGCAGGAGCAAATGAGGATGGAGGGATAGGGGTGACCATTGCTGTCTCCTATGAGGAGCAATCTATGGATGGATATATTATGAGGGATGGTTTAAATTTAACTTAGGATATTGTAATGTAGATGGGTTATTGTATAAAATGTAATTTTGAAAATGTAAAATATACGTGGATTGTGCACTCGCTACATATGAATAGGCTTTTATCCATTAAACATTTGCTTTATATTAATTAGATGTTTGTGAATATTAATTCTAGTTATTTAGCATAATTCTTCTTCTAGATATCAAGGTGTATGCTCCATGTGCATTACTATTTTTACTTTCTAATTATAATTTCTATTTAATGAGTTATGGCATCTCATTTTACCAGGAAAGTCATTTCAACATTGCTGGTGAATTTCTTTGTACTTCTACTTGGGATCTTCTGTTGCACAGAGTAAAATTTTGAAGCTATTAATTGCTATTGCATACTTTCTTTTGATGTAATTGCTGAAGTTCACTTGTTAGAACAAATCTTGTGGAATTTGCAGATAGGCTTTCAACTCATGGTGTTTCTTCTACGTTTCTCATCAATTTTTATTCCTGTTAGAAACAAGAGTTACTATCAGGTCACAGGGCATCCAATGGATAAAATTTTTGAAGGATCTAAATTCTTGAAAACCACATCAACATCATCAAATCAGCAGCCATTCTTCCCGGAGGCCATGCAGAATATGGTAATAACATCTTTTGAAGAAATGCCATTCTTGGATACATTTGTAGCATGCTTGCTGCTGTAATTTCATGATAGAATGAACAAAAAAATATATTTGTTATTTGGTGAAACTAGTGTAATTACTATCGTATTATATTTCTCTAATTTTTCCAAAAAACAGATTTGATATTTGTTTCAGATCTTTAATTTGTTCATCGGAAGATCAATGATAATTGATAAATGTTGAATATTTTCATGATTTCATTACTGAATGCATCTAATCTAAATCTTAATGACTGAAATTATGAATGATGATAAGCCTAGTAAATTAGTACCTTGTAATTTCTACGTATGCGTTGTCTGACCATCCGATTATTCTCCTAGGAGAGAATATGTAAGCAAGAATGATCATTCATGCACTGATGAGAAATTCTCTTTCAAATATTAGCTAATGCAAGTGTTCAGAGTTGTGTCGGATGCCCAGTCAGCATGATCACATGACACCTGCGATGAAATAATACTGAAGTTAAATAATACTGGATCTGCCATAATTTGTGCAAGGGTGAGTAGTCCTTTATGAGCAGTCATTTAATATGGTTTTTTGACTGAGGTTGGTTTAATGAATTTTTGAGCTGATCTTGATCATGGTAATGTAATGGTAAAAAGGTGGTGTATCTCTGTTGGTCTCGGAGCAAGGCTACATTCTGATGGCACCTTTATTCATTTTTATAATTACACTCTATTTAAAAGTTCAAAATGAATATTGAAGTATATCCTTAATATGTATCTTATCTTTTCAAATGTTGTGTACTGTTGCCCATCGTTTCCTCATGATTCTGATGTTGGCTGCATGTGCAAAATCATTTTTCCATAAGTATGTGGTCTTTTAAACATTCTTTCTTATCTTAATGTGGTCATATGCCTATGATTGTCCCAAGGCTTCAGTCGAAAATCCTGTAGTTTTTACTGTATTTTTCAAATAAACCAGGGTTGCTCGAGGAGCTTAAAGAGAAAGCAACGTGACATGTCAGGGAGATCAAATATGGGTGCTGCTGCTGTTTCTGTTTGCTCTAAATCTAAAGATCTTGGTGACAAGAGAGACAATGGTAGCAAAGTGAGTTGTGGGAAATTTGAAAGAGTTGGGGGCAGAACTGAAGTTGTACAATTTGATGGAGGGGAACCCAACATCAAAATTCTATGGGATCATGATAGTTCTCAGAACACATTATCAAAATGTGGTGGACCAATATTGCATGATTCTGTTTTCCAGTCATACTTTGACAAGTTGCATTTGGAGAAGCTGAAATCTCCCTGCACAAAATGTCATAATAATGAAAAAGAGTCCATTTGTACTGACATGCCTGGACTTTGTTTAAGTAGGAAGTACAGAAAGCATCGAAGACTGTACAGCTGGCAACGTCGAAGAAAATATAAGGGACCTGAAGAAAATATACCTGGAAAAAATAATAAAATAAGATTGCAGATGAAATTTCTGGATTCTGATTGCAGTTTGTGTCATTGGCCTTCAGAACCATCAGTGCCTGCATCTACTGAAGAGGATATCATGAAGGATTTTGAACTAACTGCATCAAAAGATACTGAAGCAAGCAGGGAGAAATGTTCTCATCTGATGCTTTCTCAAGACATGTGTCAAGGACAAATAACATTCTCAACAAAGAAAACTCATCATAGGCCTAGATCTGAAACCAATGATGCATCTGAAGGGCAACATCATGCTAGTCTGAAGAACTTATCAATTCAACCTCTAGATTTTGCAGTGTCATCACTGTACAACAATCGTTTTACTCCAAATGAACTCTTCCCAGAAGAGTCTGATTGCTCTGCTTCAAAGAACCAGCTAAATCTTCATAGCCACTTTGAGAAGGTTGGTCTGAATATTTATTTTATAAAAAATGTTTTGATAATCTATAATTTTTGTGGGAGACTTGCGTTCCAGTTATACTTTGGGATAAACTGATTATAGACTATATACCATCAACAAGCCAATCAACCAGAACCATTATTACTATTTACTACTGTATTCGATTTTGGTTGGTCATGAAATTTTTTATTATTGTGTTAAGACTAAGCTATGAAGATGCATGGTGTAGTACATTGGTTTCTTGTTTATGTACAGTGAATAGACAAGGACTGTGATCTCAACAAAACCAAACAATCTGATCATTGGATGCTTTAATATAGTGCCTGCAATAATAAAGGGATTAATAATGTAAAATAGGACTTATTGCTGTGAGGCCATGAGCATGGGCAGGAATTGGATAAGGCTTGTGCTTGAATGTATAGTCACATCACATGGTCTTTAATTGGAATAGTGGCAACTGAAGTTGATTTGTTTGTTCATTACTTAACACAATGAGGCCTTCAATATTAAAGAATTTGGCCAATGTCTGTTACATTAGAGAACTTGTTTTTGTGGCAGCTTCATGCTTTTTGTGTTACTTAACTTGTCTCCCACCTGTAATGCTTGTGATCTTTCCTAATGTTGCAAGAAGTATAGTTAGATAATGTTATCAGTCAGTGTCTCCCTTTTGCTGGGGCTTCTTTCTTCATTTTATTGAATGTTTCTTCTCTCCTTTTTGTAAAATTGGATGACCTTTTGAATAGGTTTTTTTTTTTCCTGTTTTATCCTTAAAAATGAAACTAAAAATAAGAAAAGGGTCTTGAAGCTACAGGAATATCTTTATCACTATCCTTTGGAAGTTGATGACAATCTTCTTTCTCAGTATAAAGATAAGTAATTTGGCAATCTTGTTCTAAGTGTGTCTATGGTGTGGAAAAAATCTTTTACATGAGAAAGCACGATTCTCCTGGTTTTTTGTTATTTCAATCAAAACATTTGGATGTCATGTGAGTTAAGTTAGTTGGGATTGTTACATGGCAAATTCTGATTGGGATTTTGAAATTTAAAAGGTTCTCAACTGGCATTTGTCCTACATCAGTATAGCGTATTTGATTTAGTTGAGATGCCCTGTTATTTATGCCTAAGCCTACTGATCCTACATATATGACCACCTTCTCGGCACCTAGTCTAGTTTCTTATATGGCAGATTTTATAATTTTAGATTCTGATTCGGATTTTGAAATATAATATGATCTCATCTGGCATTCATCCTACATCAGTATACTGTATCTGATTTAGTTGAGATGCCCTGTTATTCAACGCCAAAGCCTACTGGTCCTGTATAGATGACTACCTTTTGGACCAGATATGATGATGATTATGATCTTTATGACTTTCATGATCAGATAACTGCTTTAACTAATAAATTTGGGTGCAAAATTTCTAAACTCATATGAATGGTCTATATACTGATCTTAAAAGTTAAAAAGATGAAGTTTTAGGTGGTTTTGGAAAATTCAAGCTCGATTTATTAGGGTACAGTTTATACAAATGTGTAGTAGATGTTCTCAATTACATATCCGGCCTTCCTTGCTATGTGGAGAAGTATACAATTATGCAAGGACAACAACAAAGATAACTATGCAAGCTCCAAATGTTTGAGATCAGAATTAAGTAGAGTTGAATATGAGAAAGAGAAAGAAAACAGTGGTTAAACCTACTGTAACAATGGTGGCTGATTGTGATGGAGGATTGTGAAGAAATTGGAGTTTTGTTTTCATATACTGCAAAAATTATGGGAAATGAGAATGGAATAATAGTGATAATGAAAGTTTAAATCTATTTAAATTTAAAAAGTTGAATTTATGAAATAATAACTAGTAATTTAAAGATTATCAAAAGTGGTATGATAACTATTTTAAGTTACTTTTTCTTGCATTCTGATTTCAGATATATGTTGGTAATCATGAGTTGTTCTTTTTACCAAGACAATTACATCCATTCATATGTATTCAGCAGTTGGCATACATTTTTAAGACTACGAATTGTTTTGATTTGCAAATTCATAGCATTTATGCTAATTTGGCTTATAAATTTGCTAGCAGGTTGGTTCCATGTGTTTTTATTGCTTGATTATGCAATCTTCACAAAAGGTTGAAATCAGGGATCAAATTGACAGAAGCTTCATCTTCTATAATAGATCGTCAGCATATACAGTTTTCCCAAAAAATCGTATCCTTTATCTGATATATTCACTTTAAGGCTTTGTATTCATGTGATAATCATTTTCCTAGACCATTTTGTTTGTACTTTATACCATGCTTAGATAGGAAATTTTTTATTAGCGACTTGGATTCATTTCTTGTATATAGTTTTACATATTTGTCTATTTATAGTTGTATACATGTCAACAAGTATATGCATATGAATATATAAAATTATACGTAGAAAAATTGATATTGCAATGTATTTATGAATGATGTTTAACAAGGTTTGGAATTTTACATTTGTCTTATGTTTTCTATTGTTTTTATCATTGGGTGAGGGAGAGGGCTAGGACACATCAGGTATTGAAGAAAGTTTTTGACCCATTGACCAGAATTCTAGAACAGCAGAATATTTCCATATTTCTTCATCAAAGCATGACATCACCATCTCCCATCCCTTTCCATGTCTCTTTGTTAACAGGCATATGCCCATCTCTTGCTCTGCACTGTATCTCTACTTATAGTCATGTCTTTATTCCTGTTAGGCATTTACCTTCATAACTGCTGAAATGACTCTCTCTGTCTCTCTCTCCCTCTGTCTATCATGCTCCATATTAGTCATTGTCTCGAACTTGACTAGATCCTCTTTAATCATTATCCTTATTCTCTCTTTTCTAATTTTTCCCTCATTCTCTCTGTGCCTCACTCTCTCTGTGTACCCACTCTCTCTATTCATTTAAAGTGGACCAGCAGGTGCTTGGACTCGAGAGAGGGAGTAGCTATTGGAGCACATGTCGCCCCTCCTTTCTAATTTACTGAACCATAGGCTTAAACATGAAATTAAGTGTTTGATTGGCTTCTGATATAAATGTGTGAGGTCACAATTGTTTTGGATTTTAAATGGTCCAGTAAAGTTATTTTAACCCTGTCATCGTTAAATTAATTGAATGAACTCCTTTAGGCTTGGTTCTAGCTGGGTTATTTGGGTTAACAAGAATGAAGAGATGGTTATTGTAATGCACCTCTTTTGCTGGACTGTCATGGTTAAATGACTGAATTTGGTTAAATAGTCATCTTAGTCAATAATGTTTGGCAAGTTACAACTGTAACCAAAATCACACATCCTGAACCCAAACTGCACACTGTTTATGCTCATTAATGGCATTTAATTAAAGTAACTCAACAGGTTTTAAGTGTGCTAAACGTGCTACAAAGATTAGTACTTGACTATGGTATAATAGAACCAAATAATTAACTGTTTTAAATAGGACTACCTTGGGCTAAGTTAACTTTGATGAACTAGACTTGGATATAAACAGGAATACTCGAGAACCAGGTAAAATGAATCACATGAAACTGCCATGTGCAAGTCCAGTAACTTGAACTTGCTGGTCCTAATACTATAGCTTTATGGTTGTTTAGAAGAGATGTAGCAAAATTATTATTTCATTTGTACAAGTAATATATATTTCTTTTTCTAACTATATTTTATGGACTTAATTTTATTCTATGTTATTAATCATTTCAAGCCAATTCTGAAACTTTGAGTTACTATTTCAATGTGCAAGATAACAGCCGTATCATGGAGTTCTCGAGGGATATATATCTTTCACTTTTGGTCATTAATTTAGTATACAGATGCAAAATAGACCAGGTCTGATGAATGGCTAGAGCAATTAGTTGATCTCTCTACTCCTAAATTGTTTTCCCCAAAACTTAACTAATTCAGTGGAATGTGTGCTTATATTTGCCAAGGACCAAACCTCAAAATGCAAAAGAATTTGAAATTTTGTCAACTTATGTGATAATTGTTTTGCAATGCTGATAACAATGATGAAAATGATGCTGTTGTCTTTAGTATTGCGTCTTTATCCAATTGTTCTGTAGTTGAAACTTGACCTTTTCGGTGATATTCAGACATACTTAACCTATTAAAGCCAAACGACTGCAGTGCAATTCGTCTTATGAAGCATATATTTGGATTTCCCGATAGAAGCAAAAACTTCATGACATGTACTGATTGTAGTATTGGTTGTGCCATAGAGTCCCAGTGTTTGTAAGTAGCAAGATCAACAAACTTATTTAATGTTTGTTGCTATCATATATACATTTGCAATGTTACCTCCTGTTTACCTATTCATTTAAATGAAGCTTCTAAACCAGTGATTTAAAAAGCGTTGGGTGCCAAGGTCTCAAAACGCCCAAGGCGATATGCGCTTGCCCGAGCAAAGCCAGACGTTCTAAAATATTAAAATATTAAAATATATTTTAATATTTTAAAATAGTCTCTACTGTTAACAATAGAGTGTGAGAAGGAGACCAAAGTGAGATGCTAAGTCATGGTGAGAACTCAGTCGCAGATAAGATGTTGTTGTCTAAGAGCAACGGTAGCAGTAGCGAAGAGAGGCAACGGCAGCGAAGAGCAGCGGTAACAACAGCAGAGAGTAGCAACAGCGGCAACGACAGTAGTAGCGGGCGGTAGCGGAGAGCAGTAGCAGCGGAGAGTAGCAGCAGTTGCAGCGAAGAGAGGCAGCGCCAGTGGTAGCGAAGAGCAGCGACAGCAGCAACAGAGAGAGGTAGCGCCAGTGGTAGCGGAGAGAGGCAACGACAACAGCAACAAAGAGGAAATGTTGGTGGCGGAATCGCGAGTAGGGTTGGGGGAAGTCGTGAGGGGGAGGCTGCGAACCAACTAACGTAAATGCGACCGAACCAGACCTAAAAAGCTGGTTCAGTCGCCTAGTTTAAACCGGGCGCTCGCCCGAAGCCCCCAACGCTTGCGCTCAGGTAGCACCTCTTTGAAGCGCGCCGCCTGGACGTTAAACGAGGCGCTCGGGCCTCGCCTCGCCCAAGCGCTTAGGCAAACGCCTGAGCACCTTTTGAAATCACTGTTTTGAACTGTCGTGGAGTGTTGATTCTCATGTTTTATTTATGTCTTTTCAATCGTATGGATTGTTATCTTTTAGCTTGGCATTGGACAAATTTGAAAATTTTTATAACCATTACAAAATTTTTCAAAAATACTAATAAAATTAATCTTCAGTGTTGCCATTGATTCGTCCAATTCCTTTTTTACTCACTTGATAGTTGTTTGGTGATCACTTTAAGAGTATTGCACCTTCCTAAGTCTTTGTGGGTATATTTCTAATGCCACTTAGTATTTGTTGCCAACTTTCAGAACTTCATGCATTGAAGTGTTTAATTAGTCATGATCTCATGCCTCAAGGTTTATATTGAGCATATTTTTTGTTAACGCAGAGAATAAAGATTTGGAAAAGAGGAAAGGGAGAAGAGACACGAAGGCAATGAGAGTAGGGCAAATAAAAGAGGAGATGTCAATCTTTCCTTCCCGATTTTTTCTTCTACTTCTGACAGTCTTTTTCAATGATAATTTCATGAAGACGAAACAAATGACTTGTTCTACTGAGATTTTACATCAAATTTACAGGTTTAATAGAAAATCTAAGTTGGATATAGAGTAGGAAGGATAAGTTCCATCTGGAACTTGTCTGATTTAAGGACAATAGGGTTTTGGGTTGAAGCCAAAAAGCAGAAACCTGACAGGCCATGCTAAGCCAAGCTGCATATATCCCCACGAGCACAATATCGTTTAAAATCTGAAGAAAATCTTTCTGCGTATGCCAGTGATTTTGATGTCAGTGCAAAAATTCACTCAAGTGGAACTAGAAATGGAAAGAATTTCCAATTTTGGCAGTGCTTCATCGGAAAATTAGTTGACTTCAAACTAATATTTATATGTGGTTAGGTAATATTTTAATCATAATTAAATGACCTTTGAAATCTTTGACTTATATCTAAATCTTATTTATGGTTTGTTGACGTGAATGGACCCACATCCCTCTCATTCTCTCTCAGCACCTTCTGAATTCTTGATAAGTGTTTGATTATCAACAGTATGTTCTCTTTTGTGTCTACTTTATGACATCATGGAATGTATTTTAATATGCTGTGGCATATTTATGTTTATGTTCATTTATATGAATCCATTCATACAAACATCTGGGACCATTTAGGTGTCCTTTATGCATCACTGTTTTACTTAGCAGTTAAGATTATATTCAAGTAAAGATCCAAACTTCTGTTGACTGATCTTGATTATGCATTAAAGATTTAGCTGTTCTGTTTTATTCTCTCTCTCTCTCTCTCTCGATCTTCTAATTGTTTATGGTATTTTAGGTATCATTTTTTATTAGGTTTGCTCAAGTCTCTTATACGGAATGCTCAGCGTTGTCAGTGTAAGAAGTTGCTGTTTAAACATTGCATTCAGACTTCCAAATTACATAGCATGGATGAAAACAGATCAAAGTCTGAGGTTTGCTTTTCAAAAACAGTGCTGCTAGATTTTAATTATTATTGACAAAATCAATGTACAATTAAGAGAATCTATGATTAGTTTCTAATTTGTTTCTTGAAAGAGTAGTTATTACTTGTCAAAGAAGGCACACTTTTGAACTGTCGGAACATAATTTTGGCATTCTCATTCGCTGTTACTTGGAAACTGAATTTGGCTAGGATAAATTATGATTCCTCTTTGACATTTTTATGTGTAACTGACACAACTGATCAACATTTATCTTGGGAATGGTTCATAAGATGCAAGGAGTATTACTAGAAACTAGTAAGTGTTTCTTCTACCAACTAAGTTGTGTTTCGATCACTAGGTAACATGTGTCAGTTTGAAGCTTAGTTTTGCCCTGGATAGGATTCTTGTTCCTTTTATTACTATGAAATTCAAAATATTATATACTTAATAACATGGACTGATGTACCGCCTGAGATGATACAATATGAGCGGTATGTTTCGGTCTGCTTGCTGATTGAAACACGGACCACCTCATATCGAATAGTATTTTAAAGGTGGGGTTGTATTGGGCGATACAGGGTTCGGGCGAAACAATCAAAATTTGATCAACCGGTGACCCCTACCGGTTGGATTTTGATCTAAACTGATCAAGGGCCATGATTAATCCAGTTCCAATGGTCAATTTGACCGTTGGACCACTTTTTAACCTGATTTAACACATATCACCCCTCCCTCCCCTCTTTAACTCTCTCTTTCTCTCTCTCTCTCTCTCTCATAACTTCCAAACTCTTTCTCACTCTCTTTCTCAATTAAGAGTGGTCTCGCTTCATTTGGGAGGATTTACTCATTCTAACAATTCATTTGGTGTCAGGTCTCTTCAATTAATAGTTATGTATTCTCTTTCTATTTTTAGTTAACTTTGGACATGATTAGCTCCTTATTTGCTCCATATTAGCGTAATTGTATCAAGTTACTGATGATTAGTGTCATTTCATATATGAATCAGACACTACTAGGGCCAATCTCTTACTTTGAATTCACACCTTAAGTTAATAATTTTCTGTTCAAAGTTAATTCCACATGCATTTTTTACTTAATTGCAGGAAATGTGATAGTTATGCTTAAATGCACTTCCAAACTACTTAATGAATAAAAGAATTAAAAATAGAGGAAGAGAAATATTAGTGTGTGTTTTTTAGCAGGGAACTTTGATCAAATGTGTCTCCTCTCTTAAAATACTATCCTACCATGAAAGAAGATGTTAAATGTCAAGAAATTTTTTTGGGAGAGAGAGATAGGAATAAGAAAGTTTTATTATCAATGACATAAGTTAAATTATCAAACAAAATATTTACAATGTATCATTAAATTGTACACATATAATAGATATTAAAATTTTAATGACTTCTTACAAATCCTCCTACAAAAAATGACATCTCACAAATTTTGTAAGACAAAGATGACATCCTTAGTACAATTTAGTTCATTCATTAAATGGTATTATAGAAAATTCATATTTAATCTTTAATTAAAAGTGATGCATGCTTGAGAGAACTGCATTGGATGTTGAAAATGTAAATGATTGAAAATTTTAATTACAAAATTTACACAATCATTTTGATATAAAGAGAAATCATACCTATTAATTGAACAGACCTTACACCAAATGAAGAGACCTATTAATTGAACAATGCATGGTTTTCAATTAGATATTATACAAATTATTTTTCAAGATGACATATTTAGAGGAAAAAATTAGACGTAGGAACTTACTTGTAATTGAGATGTCATTTTTGTTTAACAAAATCTTAGGATGTCATTTTTTTTAGAATATTTGTGCAAAACTTATTAATATTTTGATATCTATTATATGTGTACAAGTTATCAATATTTTGATTGATAGTTATACTTGTGTTATAGGTTTTTATTTAATGTGTTATACTATACTAATTTCATCAATTATGGGCTTGATTTAACCCAGTTATAGTAAATTTCAACAGGGTTGCCACAATTTTTGACTGTCCAAAATTAGTATAACCCTATTATAAAATAGTGCAGATGAGGTCATACAAAACCTAAAACACATGAATTCAACAAAATATAATGGACATTAGTTGAGTAAAACGTTTTGGAGGTTTTGGTTTTTTTTAAGACTTCAAATATCAATTTACATAGATTTCAAGATTTTTAGCTGAAATCTCAGGCCAATCATATTTGGGTTGGGCAAAGGACACATCATATCAAACACTGGGAAGTGTATTTATGCCACTTCGCTAAAGTCCACTTCTAAAAACTGTAGAAAGAGGAAGTTAGTTCCATAATTTTTGCATGTCTGCAGTCTTTGAGTTTTCTAAATTATTTTAAGGATCCCGATTAAACTCTTTTTAATGTATAAAATGACTATTTTACTTGTATATCAATTGTTTGCAAGTATGATTAGCATATGTTATGGTTGTAGGAGCCTTTTTATATCTGAAGTAATGGGCATGAGTTCAAGACATCATTTTTCATTTTTTTTATGTTGTCTTATTTTATTTTATTTTATTTTCATTTTTCTTGGGGAAGATGATTCTTCTTCTCTTTTAATTTTCTGGTTGAGGGACATGGGTGGTGTAGTACCAATATATAAATAATATATTTTCTATGTCCTTTCCTTAGAATATAAACAGAGACAACCTGGATGCTTTGTTTTTTATGTCAGATGAAATCAATCTATGCATTACAACTTTCTTTCCTTTATAAGAGTCCTGCTGAGGATATGAATCTTAGAAGATGATGCATTCAATGTGGTTATTCTCCCTTTTAAAACTTGGGTATCACCCATCTTTATTTTGTTTTTCTTGATGTATTAAATGTGTCTTTTCTCCCTTTTCCATTGCTTCTATGTTCAGGCAAGTAAATTACAACCAAGGTTTGCTATACCGAATCGTATCACCCGGTACGGGTGGTACGTACCGGTCCGACAGGCTACCGGTACGTGAACCGCCCGCTATCGGGCGGTACGCCCAAAAAAACCCTGTATCGGACGATACGGGGTAATATAAGGCAGTAACGGTCGAAATTTCGATCATTACCACCCGACACCCTCGGTACCACTCGGTAACGGTCGATTTCGATCGTTACCGCCCGGTACCACTCGGTAACGGTCGAAATCGACCGTTACTACTATAGTGCTCTAACGGTCAATTTGACCGTCGGAGCCCTTTCTCCTCCTATTTAAACCAGTCTTCTCTCCCCTATTTCATTATACTCTCTTAAACTCTTTCTTAAACTTTTATTTTCTCTCCTAAACTCTATAAAACAACGATTTGTGAATTCAATCGAAGCTAATTTGGGAAGATTAAGAGGAAGAACTTTCTAATCAAGAGGTATGTATTCGTTTTCTTTAATTAGAGAGTAATTAAGATATTTAAGATTATGATTAGTGTGTTTCGTGCATAGTAAATATTGAATAATATTTATGATAGTAAAATAAGTTTAATTAAGTTTTATTAAAGTTATTTAATGCTATGATTAGTCATTTTAATGATGATTTAATCGAAATTTATTCGATTTTATATCAATTTAATGTCTTTAATACATATTAGGGTATTTGTCATGTTTATAGGGGTGAAAGAGAAGTAATTAGTGAAAATTAGCTATATTAATCATATAATTAGTGTAGATAAATGATGATTTTATCATAATTTGAATCATATTGGATTAAAATTACATATTTAATGTTTCTTTTATGTGTTTAACATATATATGATGGTAAAATAAGTTTAATTATGTTTTATTAAAGTTATTTAATACTGCGATTAGTCATTTTAATAATGATTTAATCGAAATTTGTTCGATTTTATGTCAATCAAATATCTTTAATACCTATTAGGGTGTTTGCCATGTTTATAGTATTGAAAGAGAAGTAATTAATGAAAAATTAACTATATTAATCGTGTAATTAGTGTATCTAATGATTTTAATACTTCTTTTATGCATGTAACATATTTATGATGATAAAATATGATTAGTTATGTTTTAATAAAATTACTTAATGTTGCGATTAGTGATTTATGATCAATATTTGGTCAATTTAATATGTTTATACTTATAGTTTATTTGATTTAAATTTGGTAGGATCATGACATCAAAGGAATAGTCACATGATGATGCATGGGTTCATGCCCGAAAGCTAGATGGAAACCGTCATCATTGGCAATGTATTTATTGTGACTACATTGGCAAGGGTAGAGGAATAACTCGAGTGAAAATGCATTTGGCTAGTGGGTATCCTGATGTTGCAAAATGCAAGAATGTTCTAACGGAGATCCGTAAATTATTTCAAAGTAAGCTTAAACAAGCAAAGGAAGATACATTAAAAAAGAAGGCAAGAGTTGAGGAAGAATATTATAGGGCTACACAGGAACTAGTTTATGATCAGTATGAGGGTTGGGGCGATGAAGTCGACCCGGATCTCACAGTTGGGATTCGTGCATCATTGGAGCATCAGTATACGGTCGATGAAGTAATGAGGCATCGACGACCTTACTCACAATTGGAGCATAGCAGTGGTAATGGAATCCAGAGATCAACCAACATGAGGCAACCAATTGCTCCTTCTCACATAGGCCAAACTAGTAGCATGAGGTATGGTGGACTCCGTGGTTTTATAAGAGGTCTTGGCAGGAGGTCCGCACCAGATATTGTTGATATTGATCCGCAAGCCTATCCCCCACAAACAGCGAAACAGACACGGATTGACGATGCATACACAAGAAAAAAAAACGGGATATTGGGAAGGCAATCTCAAAATGGTTCAACTTTCATAGGATTCCAACTAATACAGCCCAAGGTCCATATTATCAGAGCATGGTCTCTTCTATTCAAAAGTCTAGAACGGGGATCCAACCTCCAAAACCGAAGGAGATTTACGACATGTACTTAGATATGGAGGTGGCAGAACTAAAGGCTTGGATCAAATCCTTCAAGAGGCAATGGGACGAATATGGGGTGACATTGATGTGTGACAGTTGGACAGGACCAACAAGAATGAGTATCATCAACTTTTTTGTTTATTGCAATAGAAGAGTGGTGTTTCATAAGTCCGTTAATGCTTTTGAAAAGATCCAAGATGCAAACTATATTGAGAGCTTGATGGACACTATGGTAGAGGAGATTGGACCACAGTATGTTGTCCAAATAATAACCAACAATGGAGCGAATTTCAAAAAGGCTGGTTTGCAATTGATGGAAAAAAGAAAAACTTTGTTTTGGAGTTCATGTGCAGCTCATTGCAGAGATCTAATGCTGAAGGATATTGGTGAGTTGGATGCGGTCAAGAAATGTATAGCTCGAGCACAATCAATTACAAAGTTTATATATAATCATCATTGGGTCCACGCATTAATGCAAAAGTATGTAAACGGTGAGATACTTCGACTTGGAATTACTCGGTTTGCTACCAATTTTATTGCATTAAAGTCATTACAGCAAAAAAGGCATGGCTTGAAGGCAATGGTTAGCTCACAAGAGTGGTCTGAATCTAGATATTCGAAATTGAGCGATGGAAAGAAGATAGAAAAGGCCATTCTTTCCTCTAGATATCGGGAGACTATAACAGAAATCATAAAAGGTGTGGAACCACTTTATATTGTCCTCCGTAAGGTCGATATGGACAAGCATTCACAGATGTCGTATCTTAAATATATGTTAATTTCAGCAAGAGAGGAGGTCAAGAAAGCATTCAAAGATGATTTTAAGGTTGACCAATACGTACGAATCATTGATCGTCGGACTGAAGTTCATATAGATCAAGATATCCATAATGCAGATAAATTCATATTCAAAATAATTTAATTTATTATTATTTAGATAATAAAAAATCATACTAACAAAATTATGTTTTGTAGCGTATTATCTAAACCCGGCAATTCAATATCGATATGCTCTCGGAACGCAAAATAATTTCCTAACGATACTACAAAATGTTATATATCGGCTCTTGCCAAACACTACCGAGGCAACCGATGCTCTTATGGAGGGTCGATTATTTCGAGAAATAGTTGATTCATTCTCCGACATTGTAGCTGTATCGTGTCGTTAGACTATGGATCCTGATGAGGAAAAGTTATGCATATTGATTATCAATTATATTTAATGTTAATTATTTGTTATGCTAATAAAATCTTATTTATATATTTTTGCAGTCAAGTGGTGGCTACAATTTAGAGGCGATGCACCACATTTAAGGAAGGTTGTCGTTCGTGTACCTTCACAAACAACAACATCTAGTGGTTGCGAACGTAATTGGTCAATATTTGCATTGATTCATACGAAGGTCCGCAACAGACTCAACTACAGACGGTTAGAGAAACTCGTATATGTCCATTATAACATGCGGCTAAAATTGCGATGTGCTGAGTTGGATAAGGAGCCAGAGGAATCAGATATTGATCCCATTGACCTTCAATTCTACAACGAAGATTCAGAGCCAATGTTAGATTGAGTTGAAGTAGCAGAGAACCAAGAGGATCCTCTACTTGATGAGGCGGGAGATCCTCAACGTCCTTCACGTTTTATCACCGAGGCAATAGAAAAAGAAGAAGCACAACCCCAACAGGTGGAAAATCCCCCTCGATTACAACATGGTAGGAGTCAAACTGCTCGAGGAACTACTGACACCCAACGGTCACACTCGTCCGCCCAATGTGCAAAGGCAAAGGGGAAGGCAGTAGCATCAGTTGCATCGTTGGAAAGAATCGAGTCGGGCGACGAGACACCTTCACAATCACATTCTCTTTCTTGCTCGGTCTAGAGACATGACAGCAACACGGATAGCAGTGCCTCGACAGATGATGGCGGTGATGCCAGGCAGTCGTTGGTCTCGTCTACCCAACTTGAGGGTGGTGAATGAACCGAGGAGCAATATTTTACACATGCCACTCAAGATTCAGATTATGGAACTCGACAAGGTATTGGTCAAGTTTATGTGCAGAAGGGGAAGGCAGTGGATGAATATGAACAAATGCGACAGAGCATACATGATATAGACACAGAAAGAGGCTCATCGTATTCACAACCATCGTATCATACGGGCAACAACAGTATGGTGATAGTTGGTCATACTTATCTGAGCAATAGCATAATATAGAACAGCACCAATATATACCTCAAGAGCTGCATCAGACAAATATGATTCATGACGATCAATCTACGATCAGCACCACATTGATGCATCAATGGCATACGATGTATCAATACACTATGTCATAGGATCAATTTCATGATTTGGTCTAACAAACGTATCATATTGATATGTATCGGATCGAGGACCCCGATCCACCACCCGTGGAGGCCCATCGTTCGTTTTGGTGGTAGAATCAACAATCAGGTATATCTAAATATGCGATTATTTAATTCATTTGAATTTTAGAGTTTATATTGTAACAAAATAGTCTAACAATTCAACTGATTTTTCTGTAAATATTTCAATCTATAACGGGCTAAAATACGAACCTTGAACAAGACTACCTCAAAGTCCGAAAAAGATATGTGATACTATTCTTACCTAATTTACATTGATTTTGCTAAACTTATACTATTACTATATTTATTCGTAACTTGAAAACCCTATCCTAACTTTTTTTTAATTTTCAGATATTTTCGGAGGGTTAAATCAGTGAAATCATGTGTACCGCTTGGTACACCTCGGTATACCGCTTGGTACATCGTATCGTACCGTACCGAGCCTGGGTCGAAACGTCGGTACGGTACGACGAACCTTGATTACAACAATAGAAAATCTTCGTTCTATTCTATTCCATGTTCTACACTGGAAATTCAAAGACAACTAGAAAGCTCACTCCCCTCTTTGTCAGAGGTGTTGGGCACCAAATGACTGTTGCTTTGCAATGCCGCCTCATCGTCAACTATGACAACCCACGTTACACAAATAGTGCATTGAGAGGATATCAACTGGCAAATGCCATGCCAGCACATTATCATCACTGGAGAATGCCACAAAATTCAGACCTGTCTGATAGTTCATTGTCTCAAATTGTGGTTGAAAAGTGTGATATCACTGCACATTATCATCACTGGAGAATGCCACATGACCTGGTTGCACTGACCTTGTTTTAATTGTCATATTTATCATATACAATAGGCAAGCTGGTTGCTACAAGTAACTAATCTTATATAGTGCTTCTTGTTTGTTTGATAAGTAGGTGGTTGTACAAAATTCTTCAATGAGGATGAAAAATGAAGGTCAGCCCAGTGCCCAAGGAGCATTGAGTGTATTTAGCAGTGCCACTGCATGTACTGAGGCTATTTGTTTTGCAAAGAAACAACCTTACCATGGTCCCAAGGCTGGCACACAAAGTTCTTTAATGAACATACCAAATGAAAATGCTGAATCACAGTATGCATCTTGCCATATGCTTTCTGACAAATTATCTCAGGCTAAGCTGCATCATGATGACAGGCCCTCAGATGTTGCACTAATTGAATCTTATTCTAAGCACCACCAAGTGGTTTCCTTTATATGGGCTGTTTGTAGGAGCATAGTTCCAGTATCCTTGCTTGGGAATTCTTCTTGTTGGAAATCCTTACAGAGGAACATTTCAAAGTTTGTTAAATTGCACAGATTTGAGAAATTCTATGTAAAACAATGCATTCATGGAGTCAAAATGTCATGTTTTCATTTTTTATCAAAAGTTAGATCTTCTAAGTGCTCTTGTAATGGAAACAGTAGATCTGAATTTGGTGGAAGCATCAGAAAAGATTCCAGGAAACCATGCAATTCTAAAATGATTCTTGTTGGCAATCTTTTCAGTCGTTGGATGCGTTGGTTCTTTTTTGACATGATAGTACCCATGATTAGTGCCAACTTTTATGTTACTGAGAGAGAATCCAGAAAACATGAATTGTTCTATTATCCGAAGCCAGTATGGAGGACATTAGTTCAACGAACCATTGCTTCCCTGGAAGGTGATAAATTCAAGCTACTGGATCAAGTATTTGTCAGGAATATTATAAGTAAAAGATCATTTGGTTTTTCAAAAGTTAAATTTCTTCCAAAAAATAAATGTCTAAGATTTTTAACAAATCTTAGAGCATCATCTATAGTACGATTATCAAATCCAGAGTTTGGCTCAAGATATTGCTCTATTGGTGCTAAAGAAAAGGCAACAATGCATCGGAAATATAAGAGTGCTCAAGACAGAGGATTTGTTCGATGCCGATCTGTGAATTCTGCTCTCAGAGAAGTATATGCTATTTTGAGGAGAGTAAAGGTTGAGAAGCCTGAAATACTAGGATCATCTGTGTTTGATTACAATGATGTACACCAGAGACTCCATCAATTTATTTCCAAGATAAAAAATAGAACATCAAAAATGCCTGAAATATATATTGTTGTTGCTGATGTACGGAAGGCATTTGATTCGATTGATCAGGATATGTTAATCGGCATATTGAAAGATATTCTTCAGAACGATGAGTATGTTATGAGAAAACATGTCAAAATATCTTGTAGGAAGAAGTCTCTAAGGATCCTTCATGATCATGTTTATTGTGATTATAGCAGCAGCAATTGTTGTGATTCTGTCTCAGAGCCTTCTGTTTCAGCGGGCAGTATCCTCATTGATCAGGTTTAGGTTCGATGTTATCATTATTTTTTGTTGTCCATTTAGCAGAACCTGTTAAGAGAATCAAGATGATTTCTTGCATTGCTGACAGTATTTGGCTGGATCTCTATATTATTTCTTGTTATGCATCTGTCTTGTCTAACATTAATTTACTGCATCACCTTATATTATCTTCTAGATAGTGGAATTTTTCTTAATTTTTCGTTTCATTAGTTGCAAGCAGTATTTAATCATTTAAGCTATTTGACCTATGTCGTTTGTATTGATATGGTTTGCTGATCCTTCCTGCTCATGATTTATAACTTGTATTGCTTAGTTGACTTCTAAAGAGTTGGTTGTCTTTGTCTTATCCCCCTCGACTATGCTCTCTGATTTTATTGTTCCTGGATTTCCACGCTGGCTGCATCTCATCATTGAGGTTGATTTTACTATCATTTTCAGTTGTGAATTTTTTTTATTGTAGGCAGTTATCTGTTTTGTATTTTCTAGCCTCTGCATACATATACAATACACTATGTTGATGATTATATGAACTTCCTTTTGCGAAAAATATCAGTTTTTTATTTTAAGTATTATGTGAATATCTTTTAGAAAGTAGAGCATACTTTTGAAATATATTAGGTTTCTACAATGGTAGCAGGGAATTTCTCTCAGAATCCAGAAAGAAAAGCTTCTTTATGTTCTTCGAGAGCATTTAAAGTGTAACATTTTGCAAGTTGGGCAAAATTTCTACCTGCAAAAGGTTGGCATACCCCAGGGTAGTGTGTTGTCCTCCCTTCTTTGTTCATATTACTATGGACACATGGAAAGGAGTTTAATTTTGCCATATCTTCAAAGGAGTAGCAGTGATCTGGTTGTCAGCAGTAGCAAGTATACAATTAATGAGTGTACTACGGAACTAGCTAATAATGCCATCTCTGGTGTGGAATCTCTCAAATACGATATGGCATGTCTTGGGTGTCCAAATATTACTGATCTAGGAAAGAACAACCTTCTACCTTTCACTGAGCATCATGCAACTGAAGTTAATACTGTCACAAGTGACAAGGAATGCTCAACCTCAGGGGAGAATTTGTTATTAAGATTGATTGATGATTTCATTTTCATATCTACCTCAAAAGAGCAAGCGGGCAGATTCTTCAATAGAATGACAAGGGGATTTAGAGCTTACAACTGCTACTCGAACAAGACAAAGTTTGGGACCAACTTTGGCATGACACAGAATCATGGTTTAATTAATAGGATATACTCAGGTGCAGATGGCATATTATTTCTTCCCTGGAGTGGCTTGCTTATCAACTGCCAGACTCTTGAAATTCAAGCAGATTACACGAGGTAAGTTATGTAGGCAATTATCCATCATTTTGTGAGGTCAACTCTCAATAATCCCCATGACTGGAATGAAAACATTTAAAAATCATTACATGCCATTATTCATAGGTACTATCAGCATAAAAGCCATTTGTCATATCACAACAATGCTGTGATATATGCAGGTTATACAACTGACTGATTAAAGATGGAAACTTTTGACAGGTACTTTGGTATTAATATAAGATCAACTCTGACCATTGAACTACATGCTAAACCTTGCTATCGTTTGAAAGAAAAATTGCTTAACTTCGTGAAAACAAGGTGCCATCCCATTTTCTATGACTCCAACATCAATGCTCCTGCCACTGTCTGTTTAAATGCATATCAAGCATTTCTTCTGTGTGCAATGAAGTTCCATTGCTATATCCATAGCATGCAAGATGTCACCAAGCCAAAACCAAGTTACTTGTTGGAGATAATTGAAAGGTCATTCAGGTACTCTGCCTTTTACAGTTTTTATTATATTCAACTTTTAAGAATTTAATCTCATGAAGTTCTAACAACTAAATATTTCTGTCCACCTGAAAATTAATCTAGTTATGAATGTACGATACCCACACATTATGGGTTTCTCTGATCAAATGATTCCATATTTGTGAATCTCAAGTTCTGCGGGGCTAACATGATCTTTTTCAAGTGATACTCTTTTCATCTCACATCAATATTTGTAATTAACTTTGGAAGTATGATCACCATAAATGTACATCATTTTACTCCATGTTGTAATCTGTATTGTCATATGTTAAGGTTTTGTTCTCATTATGTGCAACCAAACTCACACTAGTGACAGGTTTGCTATAAGGCAGATCCTGGTTAGTGAGACAGATTACTAAAAGTAATTTCTGTGGTTGACTTAATGTTAAGAAGGATTTTGATAGTGGATAGTCATATCTGGGATGTTCTCTTAAAGTGGTTGAAAGTAGAAAATAATTAATTATAGTTATAGAATTGAATAAAATTGTACAAAGGTATGCCTTTGATGCTTATAAGTCTTTGTTCATAGGTTGCTATTTTAATTACTAGATTTATTAGGATATAACGAAAGATGCCCAAATACGCTAACTGTTTTCCAACTACCTTGATTGCTGATCGAATTCCTTATAGTGCAGGTATGCATGACACCCTAGGGATGTCTAGTGCTCATATATGATGTTCTTCTTTTATAGTTTAGGCAATGCATGTCCAGCTCTAGCATCAGCAGAAGAGCCCATTCTGGTTCCATTTTCCTTGGGCTTTCACTTTGGTACTTTTTGACTTAAAGTGGCTTATAAAGTCTTCTAGATGTGCTGGATTACACATCTCCCTTATGGACTAGGCTTAATTTGTAAAAATTACTATGATGGGATTAGTGTCATAAACATGATTTAAATTTTTGGGTACTAAAGCTATACCGATCCATCGGTGGACCTGCATGGGTCCTGGGTCGAGTATGACAAGCGGTACATTGTGCATACCACGATGTGGATTTGGTTGGTTTGGACCGATGGGACTACATAAAGGAATTTTGTTTTAGGGTTTTTCCGACCTTTTCTATTTACATATTGTAAAAATTCATTAAAATTCAAGTGTTCCGCCTTAAAAACAATAGATAATATTTTGGAACATTTTTAGGATTTGGATTATAAAAAATCAATTATTTAGGTCTCTATGCTTGATTAAATATTCATATTTGTTTTTTATTTGTTTATGAACATTGATTACCTACTTGTTTCTAGGTGATTGGATTGGGTGTGTAACAAAATGGATTTGGCATGTGAACTACCAAGGCTTGGAAGCTAAAAAATCACCGTTGACTAGTATTAAATGAAAAATGATTCTTGCAGGTACACACATATCACATATATAGTCAACAGCTAAAATTGAACTAAATGAATAAAAAAAGGGTCATTGACGGTCTTTAATTAGTGTTCCCATATTTGATTATCTTCATCAAAGAATCTCTCTGAAAGTATAGAATGCTGCATAATACTTTCTCATCATCTAGAGAATTACTTTGCAATGTGTAAAAAGCCTTTCTAATGTATTTTTAATTTCAAAAAATATTGTTTGTAACGACATGGGTCTGGTTTTTGCCCTTTCTCTTACAAGTTAACCTAGTTTAGATAGGTTGTAGTGCCTCATGTAGAATCACATCTCATTACACTTGCTGCTTGAGTAAAGCAATGGAGTTGTTCAGAATTGCTTTGTCAAAGTCAATACTAACTTTGTTATTTTGCAATCTGACTAATGGAAATTTTATCATGTATATGGGGTACCTGTTTCACCAGATATATGTACAAGCACATCATGAAGCTGATGCATGACATGTTGCACCACTTTGGTATTCATCCATCTCTTGGACTTGCGAAAAGAGAAGTGCTTTGGCTTGGACTGTCTGCATACATCTGTGTTCTAAGGAAAAAGCAATCACGATACAAGGAGCTGCTTTCACTCTTGAGGTCAAGGATCGCCACGTATGGAAGGATCGAAGATGCCTCCTCTCATTTGAGATACGCAGTTGATGAATCCCACTCATCTTTTTTCTCAAAAATCAAATTCTAAAATTTCAAGCTTATCCTTTTCTTATTGCACTTTCCCTCCTATTCCTTGCCGGTTGCATTTAATGGCAATGACATGTTTATTGACTTGGACATGTTAACCTTGTAGCTCTTGCCATTTTACCAGATTAGTCTTTGATGGTCAAAACTTTAGTTTCACAAACTTTTTGTGACAACAATTTTGCGATAGAAACAATAGAACCTTGACATGTTATATTGCCATGTTTTTGTTTGATCTGCTGCAATTTTTCTGAGCTGCAACGATGGCAAGCCTCTGCCTCTTTGCCACTTCTCAAGTTGTAGTAGTTGCTTGAATTATGTACCCAAACATGTTCGCAGTGCTGTGAAGCGGCTAGCCCTTAGCAACAAAGCAAATATCTGTGGCAGGGTGTCCTTCCTATGTTCTGAAAATATTTCTAGAAATTAAATTTCTTTTTATGATTTGGTTTCTCTTCCTAACAAGTTTGGGAAGTATCAAATAGGCACCTGTTGGTATGATTCTCGTGTAAAGCTGGATTAGGATTCTTTAGATCCTTCAATTAAGGTTTAGGTTCTTCAGATTCTTCTCTTTATGGGACACGTAGAGCTTCATAAGAGAGTTGAGATTAGTTTTTGATAATTTTTAAGGAAAATATACTGCCCTCATTCATTGATGATCTAATAAGAATCAACCACTTCAGAATTAGACTTCCTGTTTGATCTTGTTAAGACTGCTCGAGTAAAATAGAGCTGGAGTGTTTTGGTTTCCCATAAGAAGTTACCCACTCGTGTGATATCCGAAGCAGCTGAGACTGCAGCATCACTGTTCATTGTCCAGTTTGATTCAGACAAGCAGACTCAACATACCATAATAGTGCAGTTGAATCTGCTACGTTAACCATTCAATTCCCCCGGCAGGGGAAGGGATAAAGAGTAACTCCGCAAATCCAAATGGATTAAAGAGCAATTCCGCAAAAGCTGTTCTTCTATAGCCATACTATCTGACCTATTCGGCAGTTCTTCTATAGCCATACTATCTGAGCTATTCGTCCCTCACAAACTGGGCTGCACGAAGTCCTGGGATGATACTTTCGGCTTTGAGATCTGTAGGGTTGGAAAGCCACACATTTCCAATTCACCATGACAAGCCTATCTATCATACACGAGGCTTATCAATCCGTTATGAAAATTGCTATCTTGGTTGTAAAAATCTGTTGGCAAAGATATTACCGCTGCAATAATAACTTCAGCAGTTGCTTAACATGGCATGTCCGTTTGCTGTACTCCGTCTTCTTCTTCTTCGCTTCATCTTAGTTGATATACTGATACCGACCGTTATATACTAGTCCCACAGAATCACCAAAACCAATCCAATAACCGAAACAAGCCTTGGAATAATAAAGTATCAATGATTACCTCAAATCTGCCGGGCTAACCATCCAATAACCAAAACAAGCCTTGGAATAAAGTATCAATGATTACCTCAAATCTGCCGGGCTAACCATCCAATAACCGAAACAAGCCTTGGAATAAAGTATCAATGATTACCTCAAATCTGCCGGGCTTGGTAAGCGCAAAATTATTAACTCTTGATGAGGTGGCATGAAGCATTCTTCTTGTGGCCAACAGTTCAATCAGAAGAACTGTTGTTGAAGGAAAATAAACTTACACAAACATTATTAATCATGCATGGTCATTAAATGAATACACTCTGGTACAGAAACAACATATGGGGGAATACTAAAACCAATGAGATTTCCAGACCTAGATTCATAATTTGAAAGTTCATGCAAAAGCTTCAACTAAGCATCAAGAAATAAAAGCAAACTTGAAGCAACGTGCAAACTGCAGAGCCGACATGCAGACCTTCCTTCTACAGCAACATTTACCCACACGTCCAGGAGTCAAAGAAAGATATGCTTAAAGAAAGGCATCCTTCTCAAACAACTTCAGGACCTCATCTTGATTGTTCAGCCTGGCGACATCAATTGCAGTCTTCCCGTCCAGATTCCGCACAGTGCTGCACCAAGAGAGAATAATGGTGAACTAGAGAAACTATGGAGGAGTTGAGCTTTTAATTGTTTGACTTACACAGATGCACCATACTCCAAAAGCAGTGCCACACACTCTTTGCGCCCATAGCCAGCAGCATAGTGAAGTGGAGTGTTCTTGTTCTTGTCCAATACATTCACTACAGCTCCTGCTTCAAGAAGGATCTGAGTACATTTCACCTGAAACAAAAGACATACAGGACATGAAGGTTGGATCTGAAGTAAACAACAAAATCAGCACTTCTTAGTAAATGGTTTTTGGAGCATGACAGGCCCTGATACACCCTCCTCTTGAATAAATAGTTAAAAAGAAGAAGAAAAACTCAAGTAACATCAATAACAGTGTTTAAAAAAAAACACTAAGATCTCAAATTGCCCGAGGCACTAGGTGCTCGCCCAGGCTCCGACATGAACAAAACGAGATGCTCTAAAATATTAAAAATATAAAAAATATATAATATAATTGATAAATATAATTATATAAATAAAAATATGATATTAAATTAAAAAGATCTAAAGTACCAAATCACATTATCGATCTTCTAATAACAAAAATGTCAAAAGACTCAAAATAAATAAAGATTAATAGTTCTAAATAAATAGAGATTAACAATGCTAATAAGGGACTATTATATGGTAACAGTCGTTAACACTTAACAATAATTTTAATATCAATTGAGGATTAACAATATTTAATCCACTATTAACAATAGTTAGAGGGAGGGGACGCGAGGGAAGAGTCACCGATAGTGGCGATGATGGAGGAACTTTCAGACGATGATAATGATGGTCGAGGAAGTTGCAAACAACGGCAACAACAATGAAGAAAGCTTCGGACAACAGCGACAACGACGGTGAAAGCTACGTATAACGACATCGTGGGCGAAGAAAGCTTTAGATGTGTTTGTCGATGCGGAGGAAGTTGTGATCCTATCCCTCAGTGGTGGAAGGAGCTACACACAGTAGCAGTGGTGAAGGGAATTACGCACAAAAGCTAGACCTTTGGACCCATCTACCGACGACAGAGGAAGCATCGAACCTAAGCGTCGATGGCGAAGGCAATGATTGCGAACGAAGATAGCAACGAGAAAAGAAGTGAGTCAGGGTGAAGTAGGGTTTATGGGTCGAGGCCGTGTGCACGTGCGGGGGGTTGTTAAATGTTTTGCTTAGTTAGTTCAATCGAACCAACTAAGCTACAATTCAACTGAACCTGAGTTTATCATTGGGTTTAGTTGCTTTGCTTCAACCGATCGCTCGCTCAAAGCGCCTGATGCCTGGATTCAAGCAAGCACCCAAGTGGCACTTCACTAAAGCATATCGTTCGATCGTGTGAGGCACTCAAGCCTCGCCTCACCTCACCCGAGTGCCTAGGCGAGCGCCCGAGCGCCTTTTTAAATCACTGATCAACAATCTTGTAAAACACAAAATAGGTTAGATTTTAAGCATGGTTTGTCTTACCGGTCCATACCAATATACCGACCAATCGTTGATATGGTATGTACCGATCCATACTGATATATCAACACATGGCATGATGGGACATACCGACAGATCGGTATGTACCGCCCATACCAGGCGATATACCACGGTATGGTGAACCTTGATTTTAAGTTTACCCCGACATTTTCACTATTGTTTGCACCCAATTACCAGAGTACTGAACTTGATTGGAAGAAACCTTCCGCCTTAGAAAAAAATATGTTTCAGCTTGCACTACAGATGATGAAGTTCAAGACGAAGCCAAGGACTAACCTTGCAGTAAAGTTAAGAATTCTCTAAGAAAATTTAACTCTTCTACAATTTCGAGATGAGGATCACTTTCTGAAACGTCACTGACAAATCTGTTACTCTGAATATTCTGGTGTCAGATGTTGATCCACTTGTAGGTGAGTAGACAATCCACAAAAACTACACATTCTACTTCCATTGTATCACACACAATGCAGTCAGTCTGCAGCTATCCCTTAAAACAAGTTGGTGATGCAGGATATACATGCAGTGAAATAGGACTAGATGGACCTATATATGCCAAACCTGCGTTGTCCATATTGCCTGATGTATACTTTTTCTCCCTTGCTCATGCCCTTTCATTCTCCCTTCAATCCAAAACCACTATAACTCTCTCCCGACACCAATCTACAGGATTCCGGTGGTCTGTCACTGTTGTTGGCCACACTTCCAGGCTGGACATCTTGATTCTGTTGGTAGGCTGCTTTGCTATAAACGCCATTCATGGCGGCAAGATTGTAACCCCATGTATTGTCTTCACTTTTACTCCCTCTCTCTTGGGCACCAGAAACAAGTGTAGTACTGGTGACACTCAGATGGCTCAAACTATTTTTAAGTATCGAATGTTGTATGATGCAAATAACCCACACGTAAAAAATTATACTAACTAGGGCATCCTGCTTATAGAAATCTCCAGGTCAAATGATATAGTATGGACTTGAAAAATTAAAAAGGACCCATTGGCTCAAAAATTTGCTTTTCTTTTTAGTTTGTTTTTTGGCTTGGTTCTTGAAATCACCTCATACTCATTGTTCAATCTAGTGGAATGTAGGAAATTCAGTATCATTAGAAATACAACTATAATATAAACTGTTTGAGAAATTATTACTGACCAACATTTTCAGAAGTCAACATCTAATGAAGTGTCAAAGCATTGGCTATGAAGTATTGACACATCTTGCTATATTGTGTTGTTTGGTTGGTCTTTAAAAATTTTTAGAAACTCAGGTTGGGATAGCATACCTTCCAAAGTATAGAACTACGACAATGAAAACATGGACGCTAGATGCAAAAATAAGAGAATTGAAATTATTATTTTTGGGACTTGTAGACACTCTAGGGTCAGACTATATTTTAACAACGTAATTGTTCTATCTAAAAGCTTCAAAACTGATCTTGTGTTGAAGGACCATGGAACCAATTTCCTGTGACACTACATCAACTAAAAATGGCATGCTTCTCTTTCTTGATATGTCAGTTATTAGTTATGATAAAATTTAATTGCTATGCTCTCCTTCAATATTTCTTTAAGTAGACACTGGTATGTTTTCTCACAGTTTGGTTTGTAATCTACCTTTATCTACGCCAGCCATGGGACTCAAAAGTTGGCTTCTGAGAAGTGTTAAGAAAATATCAGCTTCCTCAAATAAACACTTTCATGATTGTGTTAGTTGTATCGCATTGCCTACATAATCCCATTTTCATTCTCATAATGTCCAATAAATATGCTACTAATAATTATACAAAAATTTCTAATTATTAAATTGCTCTAATAACTAAATCATTACATAATATACTGTACAGTTTAATAACAAAATATTCATAATTTAATAATAATTTTATATTTCAAACTAAATTATTATAAATAATCAGTTAATATAATCTAATGAACATAATAAAGCATAATTTATTTTTATTAATAGTTCAATAATAAAATCATTTCTTTTTACAACAATAATAGGCATGTTTAACCCTCAAACTTAAAAACATATTGAAAGAACCTCTTTATCCTCGATAGGTGGTAAGTTTATCTTCATTTTATTGAGGTGATTGGATCTCATGATTTACCACAAACCAAAATATTATGGTAAATTGAGGTGTGAGTGGAAGTGTAAGTTGGGGCACCTTCTTCAATCTCATTAACTTTTATCCAAATAATAGGAACTATACTTCCGCTTCTTGTGGTTCTCAGAACTTTAGTTCCTACACTTCCTAGTTCCTACCACTCCTAACCAAACATGCCCCATAAAGTTGAAGGCAACTCCCACCATTCAATTACTTGACAATTCATCTGTTATTAGTATTTCATAGAGAAGAATCGCTGTCCAAATAGCATCCATGTACCACAAGATATTCCGGTTTTTAGTCACGCTATGCAACACATGCGGCGATACTATATGGAGTAAGTGCAGCAATGTTACTGCAAAAAGTCACAAAAGCCACTATCATAGGCTTCTACGGGGTGGGCCAAGGCAAGTACATCAACAACAAAACAGTAATATCCCAACTATTTGAGTCAGCCATAGAGATCAGGTTCAGGATCTTTTATCCTCGTTAAGCTATGTAAAAACTCATATTTTTAATTAAATTTAAAATATTCAAATCTTTATTTATATTCTTTAATAAAATATTTTTAAATCTCTCTCTATCTCTTCTCATACCATTAACAGTAATTATTTTATTTCTAACTACATATAATCATATAATCTTAGATACATAAGATTCTCCATCGTCTTATTGAAGCTACACCTAATTAAATTAGGCTCCACCAGTGGAGCCATTTGATTTATATTCATTAATTTAGTTAGACGAATATCAATATGATTTTCTTATGTTGCATTATTAATGCGCTCTTTTCACAACTTGAGCTTTTTGTTGTCTTCAAAAGAATGAAATGTTGGAGCAAAACAAAGAATGTTGAGCAAGATCATGCATAGATGTGCATTCATATTGAACGCATCTTCATAAAAATTGAACACCTCTTCATCTTGATCTGAACATCAAGATTGGGATTGATCAATGACCATATATTCATAAATCTGATCATATCAGATCCATGAGATCATAATTGGTTATAAAATGTAGTTTAAAAGCTAAACAACAAAAACCATACAAGATAACAAGAAAGAAAACAGAAACAGAATACGTTTGATAAATTAAATTTATTTTATGCGAAAAGTTTCTTTCAGCTTCATAATGCATATATATATATATATATATATAATTGTTAAAAGGTCCAGACATCACCTTGCTCTTCAAAACAACAAATGCACTCTAAATGCTACAAAATTGCTGGACAAACAAAATAAACATACAGTCTACAAACAAGTAAAGCAGGGATGATTAGTTTTCTAAACAAAATTGAACAACTATGTCAATCTTACCTCACCGTAACCACAAGCAAAATGCAAAGCTCTTCTTCCCTCTGAGTCCTCTTCATCCTTGTCTGATCCAGAATCTAAGGCCTTCTTCAAACCCTACATCATCAGTAAAAGTAACATACTCAACCGCATAGATCAAAGAATCAGTGCTAAGAAATACAAGACATATAGCAGTTGAGCATTGGACCACCAGATTGGTCTAATGCTATCTCCAGAAAGTTGCTGAATTATACAGTAGATTATATGCATGACAAAAATACCTTATTTCTAAGAAATTATGAGCAATGCACATAATCACAACAGCAGCACATGTCATCCCCTTGCCTAAAACATACATTTGGAAATATATATACAAAAATGTAAACAATATACATAAAAACGTATACATTAATGCTCTCATTTCAGATAATCACTACTATAAACCATGCTGATCCCAAATAAAACAAAAGATGAAACTGAGTGCACATACATAAGTAGATGGGGCCACACAAATGAATGTTGACCATCTGTGCCAAGTTGAAAGGAACAAGTTCAATTCAAAGGTTTGTCTATATTACCCTAAAATGACACTTGGTTTGTTAAAGTTTCTCACTTCTCCAGGCAACCAAATTCATCTCTTCAGAACTCTTTTCTCAATGGTTCCTCACCAGTCTGGATGCCATATTCCATGACCAAGAATGTTATTATGATATTTCATATGCATGCTGAGCAGATGGTACATATCAAGTTGGGACATTGCAGCTTCTTGTGTTGTAACCAACAGCTTTAGAACTTTGAATTGTGATGAAATTATTAGGACTGGGATCATACACTAAAGATCTAAAATAATAGTTATATGTAATTCATTTCTAATCTTACAAATTTTGAGATCTAAAACCAGCCAAAATACAGAAACCACAACATTATAGTCCTCAAAACAAGTACAATCCATACCTCAACATCACCAATACTAGCAGTGTGATGAACAATAGATTCATCCTCATATCCACCATCTTCTGCTTCTTCAGGTCCTGAAAGCTCAGTAGACGTAACACCATCATCTGAAGGCCCAACTCCCATGGCTTGACCAAGCTTTTGTAGAACTTCAGGATCATTCCAGTACCTAGAACAAGAAGATATTAACAAAGGCAGCATGGGCATAGAGAAAATCTTCGATAGCCATTTATGTAATTTAACATCTAATACTTCATCATTGCAGAGGGACCTCCGCTTTCTATCTCTTCAAGAATTGTCTTCAGGGATGGATCATCCTTCATGCGAGCCATTCGTTCTTCAATCTGTTCTTTTTGAGCAGGATTTGCCAAACTGTCAAGCATTGAAGACATTCCAGGATCCTAATAATATATAAAATTAAATTCGATCAGTTGAAATAAATCCAAGGTTTGCATATAAGAACTATTGATAAAAGTAAAAAGACCTGCATGATAGCATTTCCAAGGCGTTCAGCCATATTCATGAACTGAGGATTTTGCATGACTTGCTGCATCGTTGAAACGTATTGTTGAGGATCCAATGGAGGGACACCTTCTTGACCTACGCTATGGACACTCTTTTGAAGCTGTTCAGCCATTTGACTGAATACAGGGTCCTTAGCAATCTGCTCAGCCATTTCTTTAATTGTCGGATCCTGCATTAATGAGTAAATTACAAGCACAACCAATAATGAAACACGTGATAAAGCCTGAACAATCACCCTAACATCAATAGCAAAATAAAATGCATCAAAATGTAACCAAGTTTCTCATATGTTATTAGTCGAAAGAATTCCTCCAACTGGTATGTTAATGCACAACTTATATTTGAGCCATTGGTTCAGCTCACCATTTTTCATTTCAATCTCACTTGATAGCGTTATATATTTTGAAGTTGCACTATCATAAATGTTAAATAAAAATCTTTTGGCTATGTGACATCAAAATCTTTGACTCCCTTGAGTAAACAATTTTAAATCTTAGTAGTGTTTCAAAATCTGACAAGGCCGGCAGGGAAAATCCAACAAAAATAACAACACACCACTCTTCGTCCCATCAGGTCTCAATCAGACTCACGTATTTGCTACATCCTTGTCCTTGATGGTTATGACTTTAAAATTTTAAATTGTATCTACCAACAATTTGGGATGAGCCACATGGTTTCTTGTTCCCCCCAATAAGTTCTCTCAAGGGCAATCAAATCCAAATTTTAAATATCAACAACACACTGGAAGAAGTCAATAAAATTGATGATTCAACTTCCAAACACCCAATCCATGTTTCATTTAAACACATCAAATAAGCCCATAACTATAATAAATTAAAACCTTCATATCACAATAAGTTCCTTTGTCTTCTTTTTCTTCCTCATTCATACCATATCTAACTTAATACATACAATAGAGTTAGTAATAACCAAATTCAAAGTGACGTCACACTATAACAGAAGTTTGTATTACAGACAACCTGCTTTGCTTTGTGGCACTTTGATGCTATAACTCTTGTCCTACTGAGATCAATCCAAAGATTCCATCATTAATAACTCCTATTCGCATCGACCCCCATTACACTATTCTGGCAAGTTTGGCTTACAGGTAACCTGCTTTGCTTAAGCACTTTGATGTCTCTTGTCCTACTGATATCAATCCAAAGATCCCTTGACTATTAACACCTATTTGCATCCCAACCCCATCCCCAAATACTCAGGCCTAGCGGTGAAGCTACTGTATATATTTGGTTCATCTTCTCCATCAAGGCTCTGACAGGAATAAAGGTGGTGATGGGGGGGATTGAGTATTCAATATCAATATTTACAGTAAAGAAGTCAACAAACTGCTGATGATCAAGACCAGCTTCTTTGAAGGTGACACAAAGGGACCTTCATATTTAATGACAATTCCCTTCACCAAATCTTTTGATGACAATACCCTTCACCAAATCTTTACCTTTCCTCACTTCTGCAGTTTTCATTATCCCTATTTGATCTTCCCTGTTTGTCTTAATTCTGATAGTCAGTTCTGCTACCACATAAAGGGTATTGTCTTAATTCTCAAACAATGATCGTAGTCTTTTGTGATGATTGAAAATTGGGATTGGTAGCTGCATCAGTTGTTCGGTAACATTTTTCTTTTGTTAAAATAATACAAAATTAAAACTCACAAACACAGAAAGCTTGTGATTCTTTTTTAGTTGATACAAAACAATAATAAAAAGCATGCTCAAGAAAAAGGTAAAACAATCAAAAGCATTGTGATCTATATGCCCTTAACCAATTGGTTCTATGATGATACATGTTTCCAAATACTTCCATATCCGCGTGTAAGTAGTAATTATACTTGGGGAACTAATAATGCAGGTAAAATAAAACCACCTCATTGATTTGTCAGAACAATATTATATATAGCTCAAATTGTGGCTTCATTAAGAAAAACAACCAGCACCAGGTAACAAATTAGTAGGTGCTAAAAGATTTATGGGTGCAAGTTAAGCTTCAAGATATCATTGCATCAAATAAAAGGAGAAGCTTATTACATTAAGGAGGTTCTGCATAGAAGAAAAATCAAAAGGATTCGCTGGAAACCCTGCCGCTGGAGTTGAAGTTGTCCCTAGGCCACCAGCTTGCTGTTGGGTAGATGATGCTTCAGATTTCTCACCTGAGCTAGGCTTGTCATCTGAAAAATATGGCATTTTTTATGAAGTTACATCACATATGCAAAATTAAGCAAACAAATAGAACCTTTTATCTAAACTACAAACAACAAGGCTTACTAATTAACAAGGAAAATGATATCTAATCATGAATAGGGTTAATGATGGGATATATATAGTTGAGATCAATGATAAAATGACCTTTAGAAAAAATTACAGAGGGGTATAATTTTTTTCTGATGAGTTGCATCAAATAACATTCCAAATGCCTGTATCAGAATCCATTACGGCCAGCACCAAATCAGAACAAGAATATAGAAACTATTTAAGCCAGTTGGCAAGCCAACAGAAAGGAAAGATACATGAGACATGTCAACTAGCAAAACTGATATTGAAGGTTTAGGGCATGGACATTTGACACAAAGTCACTTCATTACACATACAACTGAAAGCGTAATACAGATACTACCGAGTCCGATCCAAAATGTCAAACGAAGCTACCACAGATCTACCTCAATTTTATATAGAAACTTGCTAGAAATAGTAATATGGAGCATTCCAGTGAAAAGAAAAATCAGATTCACAAGGGATATCAACAACTATTTCATTAGGGGAATCGAGGGTAACGATAATTGCCCCCCGAGTCCAACAACCCCCTCCTCCCAGAACAACACGGATCTGAATCCCTTATGAAATCTACTGACAGTTAACGATTTCTATTCCCCGCATCTCAAGCACAAAGAACAGAGAAGATTATCAGAAAGTGGAACGAGGATAAGAAATTCTGAGAGAGAGAGAGAGAGAGAGAGAGAGAGAGATGATCGATACCTTTACTTCCGGAAGCCATGACGGGCGACGCAGATCGCAGACGGGGGGTGGGCGGCGGCTGCGAACGCCTCGCCTCTTCTCGCCCAGTGGAGAACAAGGACTGAAATCCGAAAGACGGCAGAAAAACCCTCGGGCTATCAATTTATTCGAGGGCTGGATCGGAAACTGGAAAAATAATGTAACAAAACAAAAAAATGGATGGATTTCCTGTCTCACTCCAATCAGGCAACCGGATAATTCACCATAAGTTATATGTGGAGCCCATCAATGTGCCTTACATTTCAAATCCGACCTATACTTTCTCCGTGTGTGGTGCGCCTTCTGAGACAGGCGTGCTAACCGCAGGGAACACAAAAAGGAAAAATTAGTAGATCGAGGGGGTCATCGTACGGTCTTCGTGTCTCAACGGGTCAGACAACAGGCTCTTCCACCAACAGAGGGCCGCGGGACCCACAGGAATTCTTCGATCTCATCTCTGCCGTTCCATTCGTTTTCCGTTTGGGTGTCGGATCCGAGACAGCTGTGTCTCGGCCGGTGCGTGGATAAGAAGCGTGAGGACGGGAATGGCCGGTCCCTCCACAATTGTTTGATCTCATCATATTTTTGGACGACTGAGATCAAAAGTTATCATAAAATAGACGATATCCTACGGACAATAATCAACCCTATCTAAATGCATTAATTTCTTGGCTTTTTTCCTATGCAATATATATGCTTGTATAATTGTCTCCTTTTCACACGGGCTGAATGAACTAACAATGATCAAATGTGTGATTCATTTAATCATTGGCCAAATTAAGATTTTTGTGTCATGGACGGTCATAATGGTATCAACATTATGTTTACTCCCATATATCAGTATGAGATCAATTAAGAAAAAAGATTTAATTGTATTTGAACATTGATTTTTTTTTTTTTTGTCATGAATCATTTAATTTTACTTAGAATGACTCGAGCAAATAATCATGTAGATCATGCCAATGAATCGATCTCAAAAGTTGTACTCATCCAAAAATAAATAAATATTATTTCAAGGAGAAAATATATATTTTTATTATTAATTGTATAAAAATATTTTATGAAAAAAGGATATCATATTTAGGTACAAGAAAAAAAAATCAACATATTAGTTTTCCCTTCAATTATATAAACGATGATTAAAACAAGAAATGATATTATTAGGAGGAATTTAAAAGGAATTTTTTTATATATATAATAAGAGGATTCAACAAAAGGCAAAATCGCATACATATATTTACTATATGTATATACCATGCAAAACTAAAAATATATGCACTCATATATTCTTAGTTAACATTTTATGAATATTAGATTAATTGGTTGTTAGTATAATAAAATTGGAATATCCATCTCTTCCATCAACGACATGTGTAACGAAAAATAATAATAATAATAATAATAATTATTATTATTATTAAAATAAGTGACATAAAAAAATAAGTGTTTAATTTTTTATATAAGTTCACTTAAATTAATTATAGATAATCATGATTAATAATCGTTAACCAAAATTTATTGAATAAATACTGTTGGGAGTGATATATGGAGTTTGTTATCATTATAGATAATCATGATTAATAGTTATTAATCAAAATTTGTTGAATAAATACTGTTGGAAATGATATATGGAGTTTGTTATCATTATTTGTAAAGGTAAATATTTTTTTAAGAAAATATTTAGTATTAAGTGCTTGCTATAAATAAAGCTTTGTACGAGAATCAATAATAAAAAAACAAAGATCCAAAAGAAATAATATTACAATGAACATAAATTCTTTCATCCCTATAGAGGAAAATTTTAGGAGCTTAATTTTATAGTGCTTTATTTACTCTTAGCATATCTTATAATTTTATAGATAACTCAATTAATCAAAATATAAGCTATGAAATTCTTGATTAACCCTACACATAAGGACGAGATTTCATTTTAAGATAACGATAACAACCCTTAGGTGTCCTCTTAAGCTTTATATTTTTAATGTATTATTTAAGTATTTTATTAATTCTTATTCAAAATTCATATTAGTACTTTTTATCCCCATGACAAGGAATGCTTTGTGATTGTTTATTTGAGTTGTGAGATGAAACGCAACCTTTTAAACATGGTGTGTATATGTTGTTAACATACATCCTAATAATATATAGTTAATTATTCTTAGTTATCATTAATATAATTTATTTGAATTCAAGAAGTATATAAAAAAATTCTATACCTAAAATATGCTAACAAATTGAACATGTATTTAAAATATATTAGTATAAATTAATGTTTAAGCCAAC